CAGAGACCAGCCACTTGCCCATAGGCACCACGATGACACTGCATACATGTGCTGGAGGGACACTTTGACTAGGTCAGTTCTAGTAAAGCAGAACTGCCTCTTGGGCAAGCCCAGCTCCTCCTGACAAGGAGGCTTCCCACCCCCTTGTGCCTGGCCACCTCCCAGGGTTGGGGACGGGCACCACATCTGTTTCACTGTACCCCAGAGCCTGGCCCCTGGTTGACCACAGACCACCTCCTACTCCCATGGGATATCACAGTCATGGTCCTGCATTGCCTCCAACGACCAAAGATTTGATTCAGTCTTGTCCAATTTTTAGTTTCTTTCTCATTCTTCTTGCTCGAAGGGACATACACAGCCAGACAGTCCCTCTAGCCCTCTGCTACCTAATCACTGTGTTAATTGTGGTGATGATAGGGAAAGTTCTTTCTGTATTACCTCTACTAACTTTAATTTTTAAAATTTAAAGTCCCTACCCATAGATTTCCATTGTTCCTTTTTTTTTAAGTCCGTATCAGGAGTGTATCTGGAGGTAGCTGGAGTCATGGAACTTCATTGTTCATCAGCCAATGACTTTGGCTGGGCTGACATTTTCCTGGCTATTTTTAGAGTATGACTCAGACACTGTGCTACAGAGCCTGCAACATCCCTGTGGGCTGGTACCAGAGCCTCATTCAAAGCTGTGCTGAAGCATCACATAAGAGGAAAGGCAGTCAAAGCGGGCAAAGGCTTTTGTTCCAGGGCTCTCTTCAGAAAAACAGGTAAACACGGGAAACAAGGTGTTATGGCAATATAGTGGGATATTAGGAACTGGAAGGGAAATTCTCCTACCTGGCCCTCACAGGAACATTTCCATCATGCACTACTGGGCTGTTGGAAACAAAGCCTTGCGAGTGCCCCCTCCTAGATGTACAGCTGAAACCCATAAGTTCAATGTTTCCTCCCTAGTCAGTCCTATGAGTAATTGAAAGCCCTGCTTCCTTGCTGGTATGAGAGCTCATTTCTTGGGTCTCAGCTCTCATCTGGTCTCCCTACAAGTTGTTGTTAGGAAGAAGACCCACAGACCCAGTTAGTGACTCTCTTAGGTAGGGGTTCAAGGATACATGAGCTCTCGGGGGGACAAGGTGGAGGCAGGAAAAAAAACGCATCAGTCTTTTGCGAGCTGCCTTGTTCTTGTGCATGACGAAGTTATGCATCACTTCAGAGAGGGCTGACAGAGATCCTCAGAAGCTCCATGTTCACTGTGTGGTCTCTGAGACCTGCCTGTCAAAACAGCACGTCGCTGCAGAAGCAGCTATTCCTGTGAGCTGGGTTTCTCCTATGAATTATTATGCAATCTGAGCCCACATCAATCAACTTTAATGCAACGCAGAAGTAGTCAAAACTTCCCAAGAATCAACCCCCTGGTTCCTGCAGTCCCTGGGTTTGATTTTAAATTTTTTTTTTTTTTTTTCTTTTCCATTAGCAGAAAGTATATTTGATCTGAAATGCAGTGGGAACTCTGGCTGCGTACTGGGAAGAAATCATCTAAGCAGTTATCTGTTCCTTGGCACAAATGCCCTCAAATACTTATCTGACCTGAGTGCAAGCAGACAGCAAGGTATCTCCATACCCAGTCTGGATGTGGGTAGCCAGGAAGCTCTGCAGAGATGCTGAGGCCAGGAGCCCACCCCCAGCTCCTGAAGAGCCTGACCCTCTCTCTACTCTGAAAAAGGAAGCAATGAAAGCTATTGTAGCAGCATCCACAATGCTAAGATGTTCTACCACACACAAAAACATTGCTTAGGTCAAGCTGTCTCCTTCCTGCTGCCCATCTCCCAGCTCCCTCACTCGCTCAGCCTGCTAATGCCCATCAGCTGGGTTTGCTGGGATAGCTGTTACAGCAGTGCATTAACTAAGGCTTGAAATTAAGAGAAATGCTCTCAACTACAGCCCTGCAACACACCATCATTACAATTAATCGTTTACTTTGTGCTACAGTGCTACTGATTATGCCCCAGCTACAAATGGGTGCCACCTGTAAAAGCCCAGGCAGCTGTAAGCCATTGCAGCCACCCTGCCACATCAGGGGGCAAAGGCAGTGGCAGGAGAGGGACTGTTAAGAACACAATCCCCACCACCTTGTGCTATTCAAGTCTCTAGTGCCAGTTCCCCACTCTCTCCAAGATGCCAGCCTGTTTTTCCCCCTACAAGCAGCAAGGTTTTCCTTCATTTCTTACCCTGCTTATTGGACATCTTCTGATTTTATTGCATGCATGAGATCCCATACCAGTGCTGGGAGGGAGCCACCTGAGCCCATGGCAGGGGCAGTCTGCCTCCTAAGTCAGCAGCACTACATTGATTTCTAGCAGCCAAAGGTCTGGCACTCAGCCTTCCTGAGGAGATGTTACAAGCAACTCTAGAGTGAGACATAAAACATTCATAGCATGTGTAACTGGGCACTGCAGTAATATGCATGGATGGCAGAAAGCCTTTCTTCTGTACCCTGCCAGCTAACAAGAGAGCAGTAGAAAGCTTTAAGCCTAAGGAGCTTGTGTTTTAAGGTTTTTTGCATCCTGTAATTACTTTAATTCTAGTTAGTACAACTGGAAATGTTACTTGCAGCACCATCATCTTAAGCAGCAGCAAATCCCACAGATCAATAGAACATTGCATTATGGTACTTCCTTTCATTGCTTTCAGGGTTTATGCCTTCCATATCTTTGTCTCGTGCAGGAGTAAATAACTACATGATTGTTTTCTGCAATGGCATTTTACACATCCCTTAAGCTTCCTGCTCAAACCAAGTAGCAGACATTTTGATATCCATCTTTAATGGGGGTAGAAAGAGCTTTGTATCCTACAAAATTTACGAGTCTCTGGGTGCTTTTTATGGCAATATCAGTTTTCTGAGGACTGACTAAAAGCACCTAAAGAACTGCAGACACAGGACTGAACACTAGCCAACATGAACCCCAATGGAATTTCCAGCGCCCCCAAACGGGCAGCTCACAGCAGCTCCCAAAGACAAGGTGCAAGAGGCACAGCACTTGGTATATAACAAGTGATTTCCTTTATAACATGCATTGTCAATGCAGCTTTTTTATTGCACCCCTGTAGGGCAAGCTTCCCTGCCATCATACTGCCCAGGAACCTGGGCTTGCAATGCTTTGAGGGTGAAAGGAAGCAGATAAGTGAAGGTGGATGATAACTGGCACTGATGGCCCTGAATTTGTCTAGTTACAAGCTATAGAGAAATTATAGACTCCTCACAGACAAAGGGAAAGGCTTTTCTGTAGAAAAAAATATTGCCAAACCAAAAAACACCCACCATACTTTAAGTTCATTCATATACACCCCAAACAGAGCGCCACCTTCTCCTTTGCATTTTCTGTGATGCGCAAAAACGCAAGTCAGAGTCACACAGGCAGCACAGAAAGGCATTGCTGCAGAAAATAGCTCCTCCTATGTGATCAGAATATGAACAGCCAAAAACTTGTGCTAAAAGGATAGAAGAAAAGAAGAATGGACTGCAAAATGCATCAAAGCAACCACACTACCTTTTACTAGCAATGTGCTACTACATCCCGGCCAGGATACCTGCCCTCCCCCTTTATGTAGGGCCAAATCACATCTGAGGGATTGCTCCCTGCAGAGGAAAAGGCCCTGGGAAAGGCACCAAGAAGCCTGTACAGTGCCTGACATGGCCTTTTGGACTGGTTTGGGTGATACGCATGTTTATCTGGTTTCACAGATATGGGCATCATCAGCAGAAGGCCTGACTGATGGGGGACATTTTCCCTCATACTGGGACATGGAGAGGAAGACAAACCCTTCCACGTGGCAGCCCCAGGCTTTGAGCATCCCCAGGGGTGTGCAAGTGACCTACAGCAGCTCTTCAGGGTTCAGCCCTGACCACCAGCTGGGGCATACTCCCTGCTGATGACATTACACACACATAAATATGGCTGGGGTATCAAGAAACAAGGAGGCTGTGTCATCTGGTGTGCCCATATGTAGCTATTTTTGAGAAGCATTTCTTTAAGGCATAACTTGTTTGCAGCTGTTCCCATGCAATAATTTGTTACCACATGACAAACTCCAAGTCAACTCACCACAAAGAATTACAGCAGTAATGGAGAAAAGGCAGGGAAAAAAAGGGAAATGCTCCTGAGCATCAAGATTTCTGCAGAAGTGAGCAAACAAAGGAGACATAATCAACCCAAAGAACAGGAGGCTTGATTGCAACCTCACTGAATGGGAGTCAGGAATAAAGCTATCAATGCCTGTGGGGTTGCAACAGCAAACTGGGTCTGAAAATGAGGCTCCAGGCTGAAAAATATCACACAGAAGAAGGGAAATTTAGGGGACTACTAAATTTCTAGGATACTGCCATGTCTTACACGTGTACAGAAGAGGCACCCAGCAGGTCTGCAAGCAGCTTGTACGTCTGGCTCCTGCTGCTCCACCAGACTCAGTGTCCTGCCCTATGGGTGTCTCCCACCAAGATGCTGCCCCAGCCTGAGCTACTGGTCTGCTGCTTTGGCCACCAGCATCTCTTCAGAGAGAGGGTCTCAAGCAACACTTCCTGCACAACTCTGCCAAGGTTTTGCTCTCACAGCTCACACCAGGTCCAAGAGCATCAATTCTGAGCTCCAATGGTTTCCACTAAGAAATACACAACCGAACGGACCTCTTCCTTAACACACACACACACATACCATGCACAACACCATATCCTCCCTCCAGCCAGCTGAACCCCTGATACCTTCATAAAAAGTGAAATATTTTAACATGTTGTTTTCAAACCCTTTTATTCTCTCTCAAAAGACAATCAGCAGCATCACCTTCTGAGCAGGAGAAAAAGGATGCTGTTTGGGCTTTAAACACTGTAATGCAAGCTCTCAGTCACATCCTTTGAAGAATGGCAGTTTATGCACACTTGTTTGGTGTCAGAGGACTACAGTCCCTTGAAAGGGGGTAACAAAGCTAGTGAGAACAGAGCAGCAAGGATGACCACATTTACAGTAAAGTATTTATAGCAAAACTAAAGCATTTGATTCCCTGGCTATCAGCAAGCATTACAGAAACCAAAAGGCAGGAGTAAGCTGTTTCCATACAAATTAGAGAACAAATGAGGCATATAATGTTTCCTAACACCATCAAGAGTAGTGGTATGTAGGAAGGTTTCTGGCATTACAATCAAGGGCAAAACACAGCAAGCTGACATTCTCCTGCTAGAGAGTCAAAAACATATTTAGGCTCCACACGCAGTTTGTGTTTAATGTGTCACTCATGGAGTCAGACTTCACGTCTCCAGGATGGTCCAATGCATTTCTGAATTGCTCTGTTTAACATCTCGGATGTCTGAGCAGCGAGATTCAGTAGCACGGATTCGCTCCTTCGCTGGCGAGGTTTCATCTCCAGGGAGATGATCTCACCACCGCATAACATTATCATCTTCAACACAGGAGAGAGAAACTCTCACAGTCAGGGCGAAGCAGCTTCACTGTTGGTGGAGTCTGCCTGCCAACAAAACACGTGTGCAGTGCTCAAGCAATAACTATTACGCTTCTCCCCAGGTGATTTGCTGTTTCTGTGTCCTTTAGCTTCAAGATCCGATTGGACAGGGCTTTCAGCAACCTGGTCTAGTGGAAGGTGTCCCTGCCTATGGCAGGGGGTTGGAACTGGATGAGCTTTAAGGTCCTTCCAACCCAAACCAGTCTGTGGTTCTATCTGAGGATGAGCTCGGTTCACTCAACACTCCATCAGTGATATGGACAAATTAAGCCCATACTATGCAAGGATTGTCAGAGGTCTTACAGACCCCAAACTGTGATGGGTTTGATGTCCCCAGGGCCTTTTAAACACCAAGCTGCCTCTGAAAAGCAATGTTGTGGCTCTCACCCCTGCCCACACAGCCCTCCTCCATCACTCAGCTCTAGCAGGAACGTTGCTCCAAGGGCATTCAAGACATCACTGCTCCCAAGTAAATATTCCTGTGGATCAGCCTGATCACCTCTAGCAGTGGTTGCCTCCCTCTCGGTGAGTAGGAGGGCTTGGAAGACATTGTCAGGCTTACCAGAAGCAGGAGTAAAACCCACATGTCTCCTTAGTGCCTGCTCACCCGCCCAATGCCTCCTCTGCAGGGGAACAGACGCAGCCTCTCTCAGCTCTGTTGCAGGCCTGGGGGAGTCACAACATTGAGCAGAACCCCAGCTCAGGGCAATGCCTCCTCTTCGCCCTGGCAGGGAATTTACCCCCTTCTCCAAGCCATACATTAAAGTTATGCATGTAAACATCTGGCCTTTCAGTAAGAGGTGCATGACAAACCCAGGCAAAGTGAATGGTTCAGGAGCACTTTAGACCATGAGCTGAGCAGACTAGTCCAGCAAGGAGCAACCAGCTTCAGGGAAGAAAAAGACAGTTTCCTACCACTCAAAGCACAGGCAACTCATTTCTTTACACCCTGAAGAACAGCTCCCGAGTGTGGCTCTGAGCCCTTTCCTTCCACGAAAAGGAAAGCTCCTAGGGCCCAGCAAGCAAAAGAAAAGCATAGAAGCAGCACTTTCCTTTTGCAGGATCAGTGGGATTTATACCACCAGCCCCCAGGTTCTGCAATTGCCTTCCCAGTCTGCTGGGCATCCCCCCTCCCACGTACCTGGCTCATCAGGAATGACCAGGGCTGGGCAATGCTAACAAGAATTTTGGCAGCTGCTTGTATTTAGGACTTCACGGAGCATAAGTAAATGGAGGATGTTAGGACTAACATTTCTTTTCAGAGCAGTTTCACAGCTGAAAGTCAGACAGGGTCAATTTTCACTAAGAAAATTTGCTTCTTCATTGCCCTTTAGGACAATTATTTCAAACAAAGCAGCACTGTAAGTAACACACCTTTGTACAATTCTCCCCGTTCTCTTTGGTATTCCTGACTCTCACACTTGAGCCAGGCTGAAAGCAAAACTCATTTCCTGTCTCCCCAAAGCTCCTCCAGAGCTGCCTGTGTGGAAACAACATTCTCTGGGAGAGCATAGCCACTGCCAAGCGTCTCTCTGCAGGGGAATGCACACTGGGGTTACAGGGTGAAGTAATTCTCACCTTGAAGCTCTACCACCAGTATGTGTTAGACCTGTAAGCGTGCAGTTCAGTCTGGATAGCTGAGGATGTCAGTTGAGATGATGAATGGTACTGAAGTGGATCTGGATTTCAGTTGAATTGTGTCCAGTTGAAGGTGTCTGTGGGGGTTTCTCCTGGTTAGGCTGGAATAGGATGTGAGATCCAGCACCCTACAATGGGCATCATGCTTCAGTTTGGGATTTTCCCCCTGCAAAGTCCCTGTTCAAGTACAATTCCCCATGCAGGGTGACTCTGTCAGTTCATGCCTGGGTCTGTTCCTCCTCGAACCGTAGCCAAAATGCACCAAAATAACCTGGTTTTAAACAGTGTAAGTGCATGCACAGAATTTCAACCAATTTGCTTTAGTAACACTCCTTTAGCTAAAATGCAGCTAAAACATGCCATCTCCTTCACCCAGATGGCTGGGCTGTAGTGGGGCTGCAGTGCTGGTCTCCAGCCCCACTCCTGTCCCCATCCTGCTGCTCAAGCCACTGTCAGCCGGTGCCCTTGTTGGGTTTTGCTTCGGTGTTCATGCCTGTGGAGCAGGGCAGCAGTCCTGCTCCCCTCTGCCAAACCTGCTGGCTACTGGGCAGGTGGACGTGCAAGCCCAGTTGCACTTAGAGCTTTCTTGGGCTTCACTGGCTGGAGGTGACAGCAGGGACCCCAGGCTGCTCTCTCCCACCAAGGGAGAGCGCACAAGGAGGAGCAGGGAGAAGCTCCCCAGGGTGCCTTTCACCTCTTCAACACAATAAATACTCACTGATTCAGCTCAGCAAATGACGGGCTGCTCTAGTGGAGGGTGTCCCTGCCCGTGCAGGGGTTGGGACCGGGATGAGCTGTAAGGTCACCTCCAACCCACACCATCCTGCGATGCTGTGAGCGCTGAAGCAGTCCCGGCCGTGCATTTGCGGGGCGGGGGAGCCTCCTGCTGGAGAGACGCGGTGAGCGGCCTGCCTCCGGCCCGCTGCGCTCGGGAGCCATGGACGCCTCTCACCGCTCGGGTTGTGGAAACGTCTTCGTCCCAGCCACCCGGCCGCCGCCTCCCCTCGCCCTCCCTCCGCTCCGACCCTGCCGCCTTCGCCTCCAGAACCTGAGGCATGGCCGGAAACACCCACGGAGATGGACCGGGGGCTGCAGCACCCCTGCTATGGAGACAGCCTGAGAGAGCTGGGCTTGAGCAGCCTGGAGAAGAGAAGGCTCCAGGGAGACCTTAGAGCAGCTTCCAGTGCCTAAACAGGGCTCAAAGAAATCTGGAGAGGGACTTGTTACGTGGGTGTGTAGTGGCAGGACGGGTGAGAATGGCTTTGAACTCAAAGAGGAGAGATTTAAGGTAGATACCAAGAAGAAATTCTTCACTATGAGGGTGCTGAGGCACTGGCACAGGTTGCCCAGAGAACCTGTGGCTGCCCCATCCCTGGCAGTGTTCAAGGCCAGGTTGGACGGGGCTTGGAGGAACCTGGTCTAGTGGAAGGTGTCCCTGCCTGTGGCAGGGGCTGGAACTGGATGATCTTTAAGGTCCCTTCCAACCCAAACCACTCCGTGGTTCTATGAAATACCACAACCATCGTAAGAGACACCATACGGGCTGGCACCCCTGGGCACCCCTGGCCTTGGGGGAAGCTGTAGGGCACCTGGCTGGGGTGCAGTGCTTGTACTCTGGGTTGGTGCTTGCAGATAACATCCAAAGCCCACGGCAGCTGGGAGCATTTCCTGTCACTGCGCTGGGTGACACCCCGTCTCTGTTCCCACCACGGGGCTTGTCTCCATCCTCCCTGCCTAGTGGTGTGCTCTGGCTGGGACCCCCCCTGCCATGCAGTTAAGTGCAGCAAGGTCTGGAGAAAGGCAGAGAGAACATGCCAAGGCATGGAACACTGTGCTCCTGCCCTGGGAAGCACTGGCACCACAGGGATATATTCAGACCTCTGTAAACCCAGGAGTGATGTGTAGAGGGGTGGCTTCCCCAGTGTGACTCTTCTGTGGGTGTCTGCTCCCAGTCTCGCTGTCAGACACAGGTGAGGCAGGCTGCTGGTCTGAGCCAGCACGGCTGCCCCAAGCAGGGACAGAGGAACGACTTTGTCTGAGCTGCAGGCTCTTGACAGATGAGCTCTGGGGCTCTGCCAACACGTCTAAGGCGTTCCCGCTCCCAGATGGCTGTTCTGTCCCTCTGCCAGGAGCTACCATGCCTCCAAGCTGGAGCAGGAGGAGGGACGTCTGCCTGGGCTGCAGCCACCACAAGTCTCTGCTGACCTCCCTGTGCAAGCCTGTCTGTGCTCCCAGGTCCACTCTGACTGCAGCAAAGTGTGGACAAGGCACATGAGGGTGGTGACACTTTGCTTGCTTCTGCTGCTGCCAGGGTTTGCTGGCGGCTTGTTTGCACAGCGATCAAAGGAATGTGTGTTGCAAAATTACACCCTCACCGAGCACAGATTTCCTACGGCTTATAAATGCACCAGCCCATTAGATTTCTTCTGGGCCATGAAAGCCTCTTATTCCCTTTGGGATGCCCTCAGACATGATCTCCCCGCATTGCGGATCTACCTTCTCATAGTTTTCCCAATGTGGCTCCTAAAACCCTGCACAAATGACTGCAGCTCCCCTCTGGGTACCCTCAAGTGTACAGCACAAAGCTTGCTTTCTTTCCTAGCATGGTTTGGGTATCACGGGACAGAGGGAATTCTGGGTTGTATAAATCATTGCACAGTGCAATTGTGGATAAATGCCCTTTGAATCCCGAGTCCTCTCCATTGATGGGTCTGAGGGTCACCTCCTTGAATCATAAGAGTGAATTTGGCTTATCCCTTCTGGGAGAAAAAACCCGACAACAGAGCATAGAGCAGCACAGCTTTAGTTCCATGTTCTGACCAGAAACGATTCCCATATAGAGCTGGGAGTGATGTAACACAAGCCCCAAGTATGCGTTGCATCCTGGAATGAATTGCCTTATGCCCCATGTTATTTATAGCCCCGCTGCTATTCCCAGCAGCTCCCCACTGGGTTACTTGTGCGGCGCGACTCAGGACCGGCAGCACAGGCAGCAGCTGTGTTGTGTGTGCAGATCACATAGCAACTGCCACAGCTGCCTGCCAAGGAGCACCGGCCCCCATCGCTCCCTGGGACTGTCACTAAAGGAAGGCAGAGAACAAAGCAGCAGGCAGGGAGAGAGACACGTGGGGAAGAGCGGGACCAGATTCCTTGGCTAGCAATACCTACAGTCCTCCTCTGAAGGCCGTCCATGCTTTTGGTGTGGGGTTTCTGCCCTTGGAACAGGGCTGGTGGGATGGCGAGCTCCAGGCTGTGCTGCCAACTGGCTGACATGGGTTGGGAGGGTAAAAGTAATTTCTGGCATTGCTGAGAGCGAGCTTGAGTTGCTGGAGCGGGTCCAGAGAAGGGGCAATGAAGCTGGTGAAGGGCCTGGAGCACAGGTCTCATGAAGAATGGCTGGGGGAACTGGGGTTGTTTGGTCTGGGGAAGACAGGCTCAGTGGGGTCTTACTGCTCTCTACAACTACCTGAAAGGAAGATGGGGTAAGGAGGTGGCTGGTCTCCTCTCCCAAGTCGTAAGTGATAGGACAAGAGGTAACAGCCTCAAGCTGTGCCAGGGGAGTTTTAGATTGGATATGAGGAAAAATTTCTTCTCCAAAAGTATAATCAGGCATTGGAACAGGCTGCCCATGGAAGTGGTGGCATCATTGTCCTTGGAAGTGTTCAAAACACATGTAGCAGAGACCTTCAGTGGCATGGTTTAGTGATGGACTTGGGGTAATGGTTGGACTTGACAATCTTAAAGGTCTTTTCCAACCTAGCTGGTTCTATGATAAAGCCAATGTTAAATCGCATGTGATTTTCTTGCTCTGAGCTTGCCTGCTGCCCCTCTGTCATGAACATCAAGAACAAAGCCCAGCAGGAGGGTGGGAGCAAGGAGGCACGGGGGAGCTGTGTGTGATCTAAGCCCATGGCGGCTGCCTTCCTCACTCCTGTGTGAAATCCAGGTTAGGGCCCAAACCAATTTCGCTGCTGATGCCTTGAACATACTGCTGCAGGTAGGTGAGAGGCATCCATGCTGGAGGCACCAGGTGGCAAGC